GATTGCAGATCGTGCTGAGGGCCACCTAGATAAGAAAAATTAAATTCTAATGATAATGGATGTAAGTTTTGGTAAGTGTTTTACGGCACTCGCAACTACATAATGTCATATGAGTAGAAGATTAGAGGTGTTTCAAGAGAGTAACAAATAGGAGGAGGACAGATCAGGACGACAGATGTTTTATAGAAAAGAAGGCTAGGAGCAAACCGTGCCAAAGCACCCGCCAACCACCTACAACAGATTTAATGAAATGATTGATAATGATAGCAGTATCAGTAATGCTAACAGCTGATTTTCTTTCCACATTGATGATTAATACTATTTTCTGTCAGCAAAATAAAAAGTAGTAGTAGCATGGCCGCAATCGCTGCCGGTTAAATACACTACTACTGTTATTATTGCTGCTGCTGCTGCTGCTGTTGCTGCTGCTGTTGCTACTACTACTGCTACTACTACTACTGCCTACTGCTACTACTACTTCTATTGAACAAAATTGCATTCTCTCAGCTCTCTTGAATTTTTGTTGTTGTGAAAAAGCTGGTGGTGTAAACTTCCTGAAATTAAAATTTAAATTGAGTAGTAACTACTATTATTATTGCTCCTGCTACTAAGTACTACCACCTTCGCCACCTGTAGCATCATCACTATCACAACTTTTCTTTTAAATTCTTTTGCTTGTGCTACTAGATCTAATTGTGTATCTACTCCAACATATAAGAGTTATACAATAAGATGAGTTACTTTGTGTGTATGTTGTGGGGGGGGGGGGGGGGGGGGGGGGGGGGTGGATTTAAATGATAAATTAAATAAGTATTTTACGAGAACACTGTTTATCATCATATTACACTTTATCAGGAAATATTTTAAAGCGAGTGACGTAGAGCCTCTAGAGAGAGAAAACGCTCATCTTTATAAAATTATGACTTTATAACCATCTCTATGTATGTACGCTAATATAGATTATAATAATCTTGAAATGTATCAGTGGGTGTATAGCGTATGCACCTATAGGTGTAGGACACTTTGCGATGCTGTTCATTCTTCTTTTCTTTTTTTTTCTTTTTTTGTTGCATTTCCTATGGATGGATGAAAGAAACTCTCTAATCTCTCTTTTTTAATTTCAGAAAATTATAACTGAAAATCCACAATGACGATGACCTCCTACCAGGGTGCCTTGCGAGGATTTTTGTGTATACTTGCTGTACTACTTCACCATTGTGCAAGACATGTTACTTGTGGTAGGAATTATTTGAATTATTTTCGTAGATATATTTTTTTGAGATGCATGAAGTGCTGATAATTTGAATCATCTTGTACTTTTATATTCTTGTATTTGTATTCTAATTTGAATCATCTTGTACTTGTATTCTGGTTGGTGAACTTTTTGCTAACAGGCCAAAAATAGCAGACCTAAAGCTTATATGCGAGTCAGCGTGGTGGAATCAGGCGCTCGTCAATTTCTGGGCATGTAGAGTTATTGGTATCATCTTAAAGCTTGTTCACCTGTCTTTATTTGGATGAAAAAAATATCCATTTATCTTATACGTTGATATATTTTCAATTGAAGGAGGTGGGGGTCACCTGTTTTTCAGAGGTAAAATTAGTGAGAAAATGGCCACCAAAGATTAGTTATTTCCTCAGCTTAAAAGAGTACGTGGTAACTGAAAATTTACATTTTTGTGCCTTTAATCAACGTTTTTCAGAAAATTCCACACAGAAATGAGTTCTTTAATGAGCATGAAAGGTGTTGTGCCAAAAACCAAAAATTTAATAAATATTCACAAACTTGCGGAAAAATCCAGGTTTCTTTACTTTGATTATTTTGACGAGAGCCTGATTCCACCATGCTGCCTCACATATTGTGAAATAATAGCTTCTATGTGAAGGTGAAAGGCATTTTTCATTTTTATAAATACAGTCGAACATGCTTTAACAGCCTCCTGTATAAGACAATCACCTAAACAAACGCCCCTCCCCCCTCACGTCTTTTTCTCACTTTATAGTGACTCTGAAAGAAGGCCACCTGTCTTAAGGCAGCCACTTTTCTCTTCGGCAAGTCCTGGTCATCTTAGACAATTTCCATCAGTATAGATATACATTCAGACTAGGTTTTTCAAATCCATGGTGTTGACTGTTTTTTATGCCACTCCCTGGAAGATGACAATTATTCTACATTTTCTCTGGAATTTAACTACCATCATTGGCTTGCTTACCAGGTTAAAAGAAGTATAGACATTAAGTAACTACAGTCTAGCATGCACATAGCGAACACACACACATATGAAACAGTCACATAGTGAAACAGGCACTTTGCAAACAAATTTTCTGTTACCGTACCAAATTTTTTCCTGTCCATGTACATTGTATTTTCTTCGTACGGTTGAACCTGCTTTAACAGTCACCTGTATAACTAAAGACATTCACCTGTACACACCGCCACTTCCCATCCCCCCTTTGAGTTTTTTAAACTTTATAATGGCACTGTGTATAACATCCACCTGTCTAAGACAGCCGCTTTTTCTCCTCAACATTGGGTGGCCATCTTAGACAATTTGACTGTATCCACATACATGATATTTAAACGGAATTCACACATAATGAAAAGATTTCCGCGTCACACCAATTTCTCTATTGTATGTGGGCTAAACTGTAGAAGGCTAGTGACTAGGCTAGTGTGTGTGAAGTCAAAATACAGCTGTTTTTTTAGATAAAATATCTTTGATCAGGGTAAATGAATTATGAAGTGACAACCAATTCACCTCCACACAAAAAAATACAGTGCCCCCAAACTATACAAAGATGATGAAATTTGCAAAATAATGTTTTCATTTCAGATTGCCTCCTGCCAGATGTGCCTAGTGAAATATACCCGCTATCATCAATAAGGACCTCATACAGTGAAGGTGCAATCTTTGAGGTTGTCTGTATTCCTCAGTATCTGCCTGATTCTGTTTTCAACCTAGAGTGTGATGTGTCTGGAAACTGGCAAGGGACTTTTCCTAATTGTGAATCTGATTGTAAGTAGAGGTTAATATTTTTTTAGGCAATTTTTTTAACGTCAACTTCTCTGACATGCGAATTGATCTAGTTGAATGTATGTAAATTTTTTTTTCAAAATGATGGCCAAAATCATTGCATTTAGAAGTCCAATTTTCAAACTAAATTCTAATGTTTTTCTTAGCACAGTCTGTGCTGTTCTTTTCTCTAAATTTCAAATTGGTTTGTTTGTTTTTTTGTTTTTTTTTTAATTTCAATTTTTTGTTCTTAATTTTAAATTGATAATCAAAGTCAACACCACTTACACAGCTTGGATTTAAAGCAAAGAAAAATCATGTGCAGTATAACACGGATAGCTCGAATTTGTCGGGACCGGCCACGGTAGATAGAGGAATCCGTAGTTCGAGGGGATACATGAACAGTGTTATGGCATGGATGTGTCAGAGAATCAAGGGAAACAACAAAGATTGCTACTTCAGGGGCAAAACAATAGATCCGGTGACAAACAACCCTTTCTCTCGCCCGCTCCACACAAGCGTAGCTAAGTCAAGTGCCGAGGCATGCGTGTTGAGCAGCGCGCTAGAAATAGCACAGCTAGCTGCTTCTGTGGAGAGGGGGGGGGGGGGGGGGGGGTATTTTACCACCTTGCCTTTTCCCATTTTTCAAAATACAGTCGAACCTGCCCTGACGGCCACCTGTATAAGACGGCCACCTGTACAAACTGCCACTTTCCATTTCCACCCTAGCGTTCTTTCTATATAATTTAACTGTGTAAAACGGGCACCTGTCCAACGCGGCCGCGGCCACAATATTTTGACACACAACCCCTATCACACCAAGCAATAACACCTGTCTTAGACGGCCCCTTAGTGACGCCATTACGTTTTGTCATAAATCATGCTTTGGTCCCTGGCGTTGTTGGCGAGCCATCATAATCCTATCACCTGTCGTTATTTCTACGCATGTTCCGAGGTAGTCCCTCCAACCGATCATGTTGCGTAGGCCCCTCCCACTCTCGACCAATAGGTAACAAATTTTCAGCTGCTGGTGAGGTAAGCATGTGATCCCTCATAACCCATAAGCCCCGCCCAGAACTCACGACACAAATAGCAAGGGAGATGAGTGGTCACTGTTTACCCAGTTTGTAACTAAGTAACCATGGAGGTCAGCATGAACTTGTTACAAAAGCGTCGCTCGTTCTCCGAGTGGTGGCGACCCGTATGTTTGTTTTATCATAGTACTTGGTCCATTTCGTTTTATTGTCACCTTTGCTCAAAAGCAGCAGCAAAAGAACACCCCCCCCCCCCCCCAGGGAAAACAACAGCAACAATATCAACAACAACAATGCGACTACTTTCGGTTGGGACCTCAGAAAGGAATGGTTTGTTTTCTTCATCTTGATCAGTCCTGCCTAAGACGGCCACGTGTCTTATAAGGCCACTTTTCTCCTTGACAATGGGTGGCCGTCTTACACAGGTTCGACTGTATTATTATTTTGTCTCAAGTGCAACTCAAAGGACATTAACTTTAGACCTCTAGGGCAGCGTGATTAGTTTGACTATTCCGTGTTTATGTTCGAGCTTCGCTTAATTTTCTTACAGAGATAAAGAAGAAAAAAAAATAGGACCGTATCTACAGTTTGACGGTTGTATGATTTTTTAGTCTTCTGTGTTCGATCTATCCCCGTGTTATACGGTAGGCGAAATCATTACCCATTATGTTTTGTATCTGTTTTTTCACGTTTGTATTGTATAAAGTTTAAAATATTCTTTATTGCAGACAATGGCGCGAGATGGTGGATACTGCTAATCATCTTGGTGACTATCATTGTTTTGGTTCCTTGCATATTACCAAGAGTCTACTTTCACTTTTTGTAAGTCTACATCTGTATAAGCCTATTGTGTGTGCCTAGGGAAAGGGCCCAGTTGTCGAATATTTTAGATATATTGAAATAAGGGCATATATTTTTGTGACCAATTCAATGTTGAACACACTGGTTTTTACATTTTTCAAATATCTTGAGCAATTTTAGAGACATGCCACATTTTGTAACACAGGATGTAAAAACAAAGTTTGGAGAATACCCCAGTTTCTATCACCTTGTAACCTTCGATGAAGTACAACATGCCACAGAAAAAACTGATAAAAAATATTAAACCTTAAAATGTTATAAATTCCTTTCAATATGCTATTAAGAAATGGTCAAACATATGTTTACTGATGGAACTAAATTTTTTACCAGTTCTCTTAACTCATTCGCTACGCCGAGCCGTAGGGGGGCGGCGCGACTAAAGTGCCGTCAGTACACTAAGCCGCCCCCGGCGGCTTGAGAACCGACGTTCAATTTTAGCTTGGTTTCTATTCCAATCCACATATCCATGTTAAAATAAAGGTCATAATATAACGTTGACTTCCGGGTCAAGCGTTTCCACCGAAAATCGGAAGTTTTGATTCAGTTTTAAAACACGATTTCGAAGTTTATGCGACATTGTTTTATCACGAAGCCCAAATTATAGCCCACACACGAGTCTTAGTACTTTTACACAACAAAATATAACGTTATTTTGCTCACTAAAGAAATGTAGAACTCTTCTTTATAATATTGATACTATTGGACTCAAATTGCCAGTGCACTGTAATTGAGAAATCAATATTTTTGAGTGCTAGACCTAGGCCTAGATCTAAATAGGCAAAATATTTTTTTCTCCCTAAAATCACTATTTTTTGGTGAAATTACTGAAAAAGTACCACTCAAGATACATATAGGTTTATTCCAAATGCAATTCTGAATAATTCCATACAAGATACGAGTGGGTTTTTTTCTGTTTGTGATCCTTTTTTCAAAATTATTAAAAAATTATTTTTTTTTCAATATCGGATGTTATGATCAAAATGTACAAAATTGATGGAATGTGTGTAAATAACCTCACATTTTTCAATATTTTCTTGTTCTATATACAGTTATGGTTATTTTGATGTATCAATAGTATCATTTGACTAGATCTAGGTGCAAACATATTTTTTGAGTTTCAACTGAGATTATTAAATTTTTTTTTTCAAATTTTATCTGCAGCCAATCACAATTGTGTTGCATAATCGCCTCTTACAGGAATCAAAGTTGAAAAATACACAAATAAACAATACAGATGTTTTCTACAAACCATACTGAAAATGTTGGTATATAATATGTTGATATTTATTTGAATTTATGGCCCCAAAGACCTGTGAACTGCGCACTAGTCGCCATCTCAATTCGCCCTCCCGAAAAAAATTCGTCCACAAGCCGAAAATAATACAAAGCGAATGAGTTGAGTACGATTTTTTTACCTTTTCACCCTGTTGCTCAAAAATGGCTTTGCAGACAACTGGGACCTTTCTTCAGGCACACCCCCACACATATATTTATCTAGCCTTGATTTGTAAAAGTGTAATGAAATCTTATTTCAGCGAAATCTTTGTAGTAATATGTTATCTGCAACAAAAGAGGTGCTTGTATTGATTTAAATTAAGATTCAAATGAACATACTGGAAGTTAATGTGGTGACCTAATATTTGGTTTTTATTTTTATTTTACACTCCCATGGGCAAAATTTGAGCGGGAAACAACATCCTAGCAGACAGATGGAGACACGTGATAGAATAATTTAATCACTTGGGAATCAAACTCTTTGTTTTCTGTATCCAGCGTCTAAGACTAAGAGCCTAACCAGTAATCATCAGGCTACAACTGATGCTGTTCCTGTCTGAATACATACCTATGTAGTAATAATTAATAATAGAGAAATCAGAATGCATTACACTTATGTGGGCCTATTGATTTTTACTACTTTTTATTTTTTAAAATTCACATTCTTTCATTGGTAAAGATAAAGTATGATGGGCGGAGGACATATTCCTATGATCTATCATGCAATAGCCAAACTTGTATTACAACAAGGAACTGTATGTAAAATGCTGGTTTCACTGAAACTGCTTTGGGTGTATTTTATTTTTTAAAAGATGTGTAATAATAGTCATGGGTTCAGTAAAAATACATAGTTGGATATCCTGATTTCACCAAAAATGCGTTGGATATTATGTTTTAGCAAAAACATTATAGTTCTTATAAGATTTTAGATCTGTGTCTTTACAGAGGGCTTTGTATGTTGTGATTCTTCTACAGCATTCAAAGTTGCATAATCCTACAATTTTCATGAAAGTTTTTGCATTTGACTTTTTTTTGCATGGTATTTTATCTTTGTGCTTGTTCCTTTTCTTTTGCACTGATAACTAGACTACTGTGTAGATTTTTCATATCGGAAGAAAGACTGTATTCCAGGCCTACATAATCATAGCAAAGTTTTATACAATGTATTTGGTCTTGAGAGTGAGAGTGACTTTCACTGAGTAGAAAAGGAAGGAAATAATGAGGGGGGGTTAAAGAACACCTATACCCAGTACTCTCCTAATGCAGATCTCTTTAACAGCTAAGAATCAATTGGAGTACATTCCTACACAGACATTATGTTATTTTATATAATCACTGAAGTTATTTTACCTTCTCTTGCTCCATCAGTGATGAGCAACAGGTTGAGCGTTTGGAGCTTTTGCACAGACAAAGGCAAGAAGTTGAATTGAAATCATTCAGGCGTGGTGAAGCAGACTCAAACCAGCGGAAGATAGATTCTTTTGGTAAGAATTAGATTAAAAATAAAATGTAATTTTTTTTTTTGTTGCAAAATAAAGTTGTCCAAGGGTATAGAATTTTTTCACTGCATAGATATGTGGAATTTATGGCCTCATAAACGTGAGGCAACGTGGTGAAATCAGGCGCTCTTCAAAATAATGAAAATGAAGAAACTGGCACTTTTCCACCAGTTTGCCAATTTTTATCGAATTTTCGTTTTTTTAGCTTAACATTTTTTATGTCCATTTACTTTAAGAACCCATTTCAGTGTGAATTATATTGAAAAAAGTTAGATAAAGGCATAAAAAAATGTAAATTGTCAGTTTTCACGGACTCTGATGCTTTGTAAAGCCAAACTTTGGAGGCCATTTTCTCAATAATTTTTTCTCTGAAACCAGGCGACTGCACTTCATTCAATGGCAGATATCTCGACATGTACTCAAGATAAATAGGAAATTTTTCCATTGAAAGCAAGACAAACGAACAAGCTTTAAGGTGATACCAATAACTCCAAATGCCCAACAATTAACGAGCGCCTGATTCCACCGTGTTGTGACACAAATGGCTGTTATAGGAAAACCTAATGGTAAAAACTTAAACTGAATGGCTGATTGCAATTTGAAATTTAGTTTATACTGCAAAATGTGCATCCAACGATTTTGGCGGGTCCAACCTCAATTTGTTGGAACCGACAAATGAAAAAAGTTGCGAATGGAATGTGTCTTGAAAAATATCTGAATTTTGACCATATTAGATTGTTGATGGTGGTCATATTATGCAGCTCACTTTGAGGAGCTTTTTTTAAATTTTCCTTGTGTTGGAGGCTCTCTTGAAAATTAACAGTTTGATAAGCAGATATCACTATATGGAGGCCAGATAAATATGTAGCAAATGAATTATGATTCCTCAAACATGCTTTATAAAAGAGGTTGTTGCTCTAAAGTTAAAGAGGTGGTCGTTGTGGTAGGATTTCCAACAAAACACATTTTTCTTTCTTCTTTAGATTTTTCCTTTCCTGATTATGAGACTCGGAACATCCACCCGCGGCCGCTTCCACCCATTAAACAAAAAGGTGCCCAACATAGCACCGGTAAGTACTAGTGCATCCATTACTCTCATGTGAAAAGATATAACTAATAACTCATTTTTTTCAGGACTTACAGGTAGTGCAAAACAGTTTTCTTTAAACTTCTCAACCAATTTTCTTTTTACTGATAATTTTACTGTGAAGTGTATCAGTGTTGAGTTTACTAAATGAAAAAAAGTTTGTTTTAGAAACAAAATTGTGAAATCTTAAGTGGCTTTATTATGTATCTTTACATGCTGCATCACGTACCCCTGTCATTTCACCCATACAAGTATGCCAGTGAGTTTATACTAACTTTGACATATATAACAGAATGTTTGTGTCTCAAACAATTCTTTCATCAAAATTCAAAGATCCTTCACTCAATACTTAAATAGTTACACAACAACATAAGAACGGTAAAGGAAATCATACTGTGATGCTTGGCTCCTGAAAAATTGAAACAAAGAAGATTCTCATGTTATGTTTATAGAAACAAACAACAAGGCAAAAAAGAACCTACTACAGTATAACAAGGATAGCTCGAGCTCGTGGGGATCGACTTTTGTAGTTTTTTGGGGGGGTTTTTGGTAAGTGTTTTTACGGCGCTGGCAACTGCATAAGGTCATATGAGCGCGCGGGGCACACCTAATACTTTTAGTTGGTAGGAAATTTTGAGTTTTGCCCGGGTGGCGGCTGAAGCCTACTCTTATCGATTTTAGACCACCAAGGGATCTTTAACGTGCGCAACTTGCACACGGGCTCTCCGAGATTTTTCGCCCTTGTCCGAGAAGGCTAGGTGTAGATCTTTCCTACCAGAAGATCAGGGGTGTGGCAGCTGTAAGAAGGAGTCAAGAAGTAGCAGTAGAAAGGCTGCAGAAAGAGTCCGGAGCCCAGAGGAGGGGGCAAAGGAGGTGAGAGGGTAGGGGCAGAGGGTAGGGGCAGAAAGAGGAGACGAAATCAGACGACAGAATATTGCTAGAGAGCAGGAAAGGAGGTGAAAGGAGACAATTTTAGAGAAGAAAATTTTTCGGTCGCTACCCGGATTCGAACCCGGGACCTTTGAATGAGAGGCCAACACCTTAACCTCTAGGCCACGAGAGCCCCCTTCTGTTGTTTGAGGGATCTGTAGTTCGAAGGATACATAAACAGTGTTATGGCATCGGCTGTGTCGTCAGAGAATCAAGGAAGGAAATATAAACAATTTGAAATTTGATAGGATAAGTCGCAACAGTTATCCGCCTCTCCCACCTTTGTGAAGAGGGGTGGAGAAGCCAATCGTGTGATGCACAACCCTTCCTCTTGCCCACTCCACTCCAGCCTTGCTAGGCCTAGGCCTTGACACACGTATCGAGCAGTACACTAAAAATAGTACAGCTAGCTACTTATGTGGATGGGGGAAGGTGGTATTTTACCAACCTTGCCCTTTTTCATTTATTTTTGTTATTATTATTTTGTCTCAAGTGCACCTCAAAGGACATTGACTTTAGACCTCTACGGTGGCATAATCAGTTCGACTGTTCCATGTTTTTATTCGAGCTAGGCGTAATTTTCTTACAAAGATAATGAAGAAGAAAAAAACAGGACTGCAGGCACAGTTGGGCATGTGTGATTTCGAGTCTTCTGTGTTCAATCTATCTCTGTATTATACTGTATTTTCAGTTCATTGAAAAGGAAACGCCCTTGTCTGTCTAGATCAATGCTAGATTCTAACTCATTACCATACACCAAATGTTCTAAAAATGTATGTTCCAAGTGTCTGTTATCTTCAGATTTTCTTTTACTTTTTCAGGTGATTCCAAAGTCTACCTGTGATCATCTATTCCTGGTTGTAGGACTGATCACAGTACTTTGGAGAACATCCAGTGTTGGTTCCCAGTGATTGTTACATTCTGGTTTTGCAGTTGAGTCAGGACTCATCTCTTGAAATCTACCAGTTTTTTCTGGACCACAATACACTATTAAAGCTTCCACTGCATTGCTTGCCTGTCATGCTGCTGCATTTTATTGTCCTAAACTGCGGTGATATGGGCAAGTTCTCTTTCCCCATCTTACTGTACGCCATAATTTAACTATCACTATCAGTATCCGTTTCTTTATTACTTTCTTATTATTTTCTTCATGTATAACATGCATTATATTGCATAGTCTATCATGCACAGAGAAAAATTGTTGGGATTCCAAAACCACTTCGTGATGTATAAATTTAGCTATGAATGCGTTAAATTTTTTTCTTTAACTTAAACTTTAAGTACATGTACAAAAAAAAATAATATATGTAAGAAAAAATTCAGGACCTGAAAATCTATTCACTGGGTTCTTGTTTCGCTATGTGTGTGTAAGACTGCATACAGGAAATATGTAGTTAGATCTAAGTGAAAGGCATATATTTTATTGTTACATCTCATTGCTGTACTGCCATAAAATATCAAATCAGGTTCAACATTTTCCTTTCACTTATAAACTTACCTCTCACTCTCACCTTTCACTTTTTTAAAAGTCTCCTCTATCTCGGTAGAAATATCTTTCTGTCACCTTTATTTTTTTATTTTTTATCAAGGCTCTTGTTTCTGTTTTCTCTCATCTTTCATTTTTATTTTTGAAACTCCCATCTCTGTATAATGATGGTTGTAAAAGTTATTATGCATAGTGGTAACATAGCCATTACAGTTACCTGTAACATTCAAATCATATATATTTTTATAATGACTCTTTTACAGTCAAACTTTTCTTAATTTTTTAAATTTGAAGTTGTGGCTCAACAAAATTTGCATGTGTGCTATTTCTTTTTGTATTTGATGCATACATTTTGCCTACAAAGTACTGTAGATATAACATTTACGTAATTTTTTTCATCAGTTGTTTCTGTTCAAAAATAACATATTTTGTCTGTGATATGTTTATGATATTGTCAGATTTGGACCCACCATGGTGAAAATTGACTATTTGTTTTAATTAAATTAACCACAAATTGTTTAAGTTACATTGTCTCATCAGTATCTGGTGCGTTTTCCCAAAAGACTAGTTTGGCTAGTTCATTATGGTATATTAAACAGTTTTTGTAACTTATACACGAGTTCCCTCTTTCATGTCAGTTAGATTTATAACACTGCATACCTTATCTTGAAAAAGTCTCTGGACCATGATGTGTCAGTACATAACAGAATTTGTATAAGTGAAATGGTGCAAGAATGTGTCCAAGTGCAATGGTGTCAGAATGTGTCCTAGTGCAATGGTGCCAATTTCAATTAGGTGTTGACGCAAGCTACAAAATCAGAAAGAGTTAACGCAGACTGATGTCTGTCAGACTCCCAGTCCCAGACAGAGCAACTGTAAAAAAGATACAGATAAATTTTAAGTTTTCTTTCAGACCATGGCAAGGTGACAATAATCAATAATCTAGTTGAAGAACTGAAGGACCTTAAGTAAAACCTTCCCAGTGATTAATCCGAAGCCTTATTATAATTCATATACGGTAACAGATTCTTGAACAGTGGAATCCGCTTCAACCGAAACCTGCAGGACAACCAGATTTTCTTCAGTTTAGCAGCTGAGCTTTTGGTTTAGAGAGGTTGCTCAATTTTAAAAAGAAAAATAAATCTGGAATTATATTTTCTTTCGGGTTACCACTGGAGGCCTACTTGGATTAAGTGGAATCCACAGGATAAATATAAAAAGTTATGAGGAAGGACCTCAATGTTCACCACATCTACTTTGAATCAGAAGGAGTGAAAAGCTCCTCAAAAGTCTGAGGGGAACCTTCCTACTGAGACTATTTTACTTACTTGACTGACAGAACATTAGACTACAGACTACTTTCTCTATACTACATCAGAGTGGTGTTCATTTATTTAAAAATAAAAATATGTAGGCCTACATGTGCACCACTTATAACCAGCAATAATATAGTGTAACAGTCCTTTACCAAACAATGTCCCCCAGCACCCAAAGCATTAAATCCAAGCTAGGTGCTCTATACATAGAGGCCCATAAGCCCGACAGTCTTCACTTTTTAAGCATTGAGACAAAAGTTCAATTCCCACATGAGGAAGATATTAAATCTATTGAATACCTTTGAATGTTATTGCTGGGATATCCCACTCAGTGGGAATAACTAACAGGGTCAAAGCAGCCGACTTCTTAAACTATCAAATTTACACAGATGTGGGGTAAAACGTTCCAATTCAATTTTAAAAACAAGTTTTCAGTGACTCCAGCAACATTTCGAAGAAGCTTGATACAAACCAATATAATACAGTCCGTGCCGGCTTTAAGCACGCCGGCATAAAGCATGTTTCGGACTCAAGCACGCTAAACGGCTCTTACCGAATTTTTGCTATATATATAAATTAAATTACACGCCTTTAACTTTAAGCACGGTAACTTCGGCTTCGGGCACGTTTCATTTACAAGACAGTCAATACTTTCATGATGACCTAATCGAAGTTCGAACAGTCTACACCACATCTGTGAGTGTGTTGTTAAGAAGTGAAACACAAAGAACGCAAGTGATGGACACACACACGCGCGGAGAGGAAGGCAGAGAGATGCACACAGCCACGGGCATGGACATAGGATCTAGCCTAGGGCAAAGCTACTCACAGACAAAAAAATACAAAGAGAGTCGGGAAGACGAGAAAGGGATGCTGGCTGCGATTTCACCTTTGACCATCGCTATATAAACGTTCAGAGAACGTATAGCTCGCTATCCATTAATCCTGATTGTGCATCACGCGCAGGGTGGGATGAAGGCGGTGGTATGAATGTGGCAGGGCAGTGGTACGCACAGGCAGTGTGTAGGCCTAGTGTGCAGTATCATGACTGGCCGTCTAAATTAAGTTTTCGTTTCCCATTCGACCACAAAACAAAAACTAGAGTCTACCATGGCGGGTAAAAATAACAGTGCACACTTTTGCAGGACCGCTATACCCTAGGCCTACTTACAAGGGAAATAGCAGGAGAAATTTTCTACGTATGAAAATTTCTGGATTATGTCTACTTCGCACTCAAGCACGCTTCGGCATTAAGCACGCTTAAGCTTTCTCCCGGTGACCGTGCTTAAAGCCCGCATGGACTGTAAAAATATTTCCCTTTCGTAAAAGATTTGAACACATGTCCTAAGTAGATCATGAAATGTGGTAGCCCCACCACTCCACACTCAATACAACGGGCATGTACATTATGTCAATGTGGGCCTATATAACTATAAAATGAATTTTTATCTCTTGGAGAATTTTAGTACCACAACTTGTAAGGCAGCTTCAGACAGTCTCTGGCATTTGAATTTCTGTTTTACATCCGCATCGACACAATTTTGATTATTTAGAAGGCCGGCTGCTTCAACCCTGCCTTTCAGAGCCAACCGAGGCTGAGAGGGATGCCACATCCCAGCAGACGGACATAGATACTTGATAAAAAACCTCTGCACTCAAATCGAACCTTGATTTACATCTTTTTAGTTTTAGAAAAAGTTTTATGGCTTAGATTGAGCCTAATAACTTGAAACACAATAAGGCCATCTACGAGGGGCATAACAAAAGTTTTTACCTGACCATGAGAGACTAAAAGTAGAAAGCTGAAATTTGGTACTAAACTTAGTCTTTCTTAATGTAGTCGCCTCCCAGAGTTATACATGTTTGCCATCTGTGAATGACCTTGAAAAGACCCTGAGAGTAGAGGACCCTCTCTATGTCAGAAAACCAGCCCTCTACCGCTACTTTGATCTCATCATCACTTTTTTTACACCAAAATTTTATCACAGCATAGGATGGGCAATCAGTTCCATACGGCATGCATCTCCGTAAAAATATCCTGTAGTTACTTGCAAGGCGAGAACAAATATTTCATTACTGCACTGCCCTCAATTTTCTCCATTTTTATGTTGAAACTGGAGAACAACATATCCCCATTCACTTACACTGTGCTGGTCGTAAAACCAGAAATCTGAAATTCCCCAAAATTTAAATGCATTCTAGAAAGATGATTGTTGGCTTTCACCCCAAATTTCAGCTTTCTACCTTTATTCCTTCATGGTCAGGTAAAAAACTTTTGGTATGCCCCTCGTAAGTGCTGAAGATCAGAGGTGTTCGTTTAGTTTTAGTAAGTGTTTTACGGCACTTGCATCACAATAAGGTCATATAAATGATATAGGGAGATAAAGACGATAGATGTTTGATAGGAAAGAAGAAGCAAACCACACCAGAGCACCCGCCAACCACCTAGAGGTGTTACAAGAGAGTAGCAAACACAAAAAAGAAGGAGAAGAGATATATGGATCATTGGTGTTTGAGGAGAGAAGGAGCAAATCACACCAGAGCACCCGCAAACCACCTACACACCTGTGTTCAACAGTGTAGCGCTAAACCATTACAGCCCAGGCTGGAAGTCTTTCTCTTTACATTGAAAAAAGAAACAGGAACAAAATTTAATTAATTTACTATGTAAATCTGCCTAATATTTGGCAATCATTTTATTTAAATCTAAAGACAAAACCACACAAAACATGCAAAGATGTAATATAATAACAGCACAATAAAGTGGTTTAGACGAAAGTCCTCAGACAAGAACAGGACAAATTACAACAAAAAAAACCACAATATTTTTGTCACAATGGGCAAGATCCAGACATTGTTCTGTATTATTACTGGATTCTTTGGAAAAGATACGAATCTTACAATCATAGTTCATAGTCTATACAGAAGATCACAGCTAAAACAAAGTTTGGTACAATAGAACAGTGAGATTTTAAACATTATATTATATACTGCAATAGAAAACAACATTTCGCAGAGAGCATTAAAGTTTAAACACCAGAATTTTCATTTACAATGTGTACACTTAAACAGCTAAAAAAAGCACAATCATATTTTTTAATTCATTTTTTGAGGGGAGTGTCCGTAGTTGGAAACTGACTTTTTATCTACATAGGTGGCAGGGAGAAATGTGTTTGAAACGAAACCGTGATATAAAATGCCAGGTAGGAAAATACCATTCATTTCAATATTGACAAAAACTCAAAATCAGTGGAGAGCCAACAAATAGTTGGTTTTTGGAGTGAACAAGCCATGTGGCCGACTCTGTGCATGACCTGGACGGACAGTCACAGAACAGAATAATTATGTATGTATGTATATATATATAATACAGGCAGCAGTCAAGTAAGCTGCCTCTTCTCCTTACGTTTGTTTTGAGAGCACAGGTGCTCTGCTCTCTTATTCTTTAACGATCTTTTTACTGCAGAGTGCATTTAGATCAATCATATTTTATACCCTGCTTCTATTCCGGGTCAGTCTGTCGGGAGATTCAAACAGGCTTTGCATTGAGCTCAGTACTTCTCAAGTCATGCGTCTACTCTTTAGTATTCCTGCATTTCTCCTCATGGATTCTCTCCTCATAGGTTCACGTGGCTTCAGCAGGTAAAGGCTGAGACAGGTTTATCTATCCACTGAGATTTCATCCGCTTTTTTCAAAACCCTAGCTATCGAGTTCCCGTGAAGGAGCATTGTATATTACAACACAACATATTACCAGGAAAAATAAAGTATCCCAGTAAGAATTGCCTAATAAAGACAACACCGAGGAAAAAAATAAAAAAATAAAGGAAGGACTGCAAAATGGTACAACTGCAGAAATGCTCAAAGTTTAAAATCACGGTTTCTCATCCCTTCTTAGTCAACATGATCCTTTATTTTCAGAGCACTGCTTAAGCTTTCCAGCTTGACAACCTATTATCACTGCTATGCCTAATAAACACCTGCATTCGAAAATAAAATATGATTCTGTTTTCACAAGATAAGAATAGAACATTTCCTCACCAATCTCAAACATGAAAATAAAAAGGCATCATTTCTAAGGCAAAACAAGATTTTACAATCTTACGAGAGCAAATCTCAGTGGGACAGCTTCATCATATGCTTGAATGACATTTAAATTCACAAATTGACCAACAAAAATAGATCGTGTTTGTAATTGAAGTCCACCAAATCTGATATTCTAAATGAAAGATAGCATGTGACCAAAAATTGTTTAGTTAAAAAATAAGATGATGTCATAGTAAGGTCAGTTCTAAACTTGTCCAGTACCAAAGAAAACAAAAATGTGCACAGGAACTTGACAATTATTCCATGGTGTGGAGAAAAAGGAGGATAACTTACAAAAGTAACCGTTTGACAAAGGAAGACGCATTTTACACTAATTCAAGGTTCTTCACTCTGGATGAAAAGTCTGAACTTTGTGCGATAACGTCACAATGAGCTGATATTTTCTTACTTATATAAACCAACCTTTTTTTTTTCAAAAAATAACTAGGAAGCCAAAGATCTAGTAACAAGTTGCTATACAGAGCCGAAAGAACCCTGCTAATACTTCTATACCTTTTCCAAAAACAAGACAAGCTTCCTGTGAGTATGAGTGTGACCTATGAACTGTAACAGCCATTCTCTGGGACTGCTCAGCTTAGATAAACCTCACAACACACTTACTCATCAACTAGCCTCTATTCGGCTTCAACACTAAGATAATAAATAGATAATGTTACTTAAAAGTCTCATTCTCCTTTTTCTCTTTTGGCCAGTGCAATGCTAGTCACTGACTGACCCTCGTTCCTGGCTTTTCTTCCCATTAGGGCCATCAGAGCGGCAAACACAAATGTGAAGCCAACCATCCAAATAGAGCAACGAACTCGAAACTTGTCCAGAGATTTTTTCATCTGGCCACGCCTGCAATGGTTGAAAATGAAAACAGGGAGAATATGATTAAAAAGAGCTTACGATGCTTTTGATAATGCAATATTCTAACCAAAAAAGGGGTAAATATTCTCCTCACTAAGACTATATGAAGAGTTGAAATTATACGACTTCAAAACAGAAGAAGCTGTCATAGAAATTGTCAAATATTAGCAGAGGCGACAATTTTCCAGATAAATCTAGAAATCCTGATGTCTAAAATTGTCAAGTTTTTGTCCAACTTCAGGCTGATCATCATCAAAATAGCCTTGATGCAAGATGTATTACTGTATTTGACAATAAAATCCACTAATTTTGAGTCCCTGATAAAAATTTCAAAGTCTCCTTGGATTTGTCCACATTTCAACTCTATTTTATTATTGCAGCCTCCATTTCGTCACATTTACTTTAAAAATTCACAAATAGATCCTACACTATTTCTGGTTCATTTTTTGACCATTCAAAAACTCAAAGAAAAAACTCCACTTTCGTTTAATAGCCTCGTTTTTTAGTCATTCTAATCGGACATTCTGCCTAAATACAGAAATGCAAACCACAGCAAACACGGGCATTGGGAGCACATTTGGCAATTGAAACGCTGCTCTAGGTGTTAAATGGTTAACTTTCCAAGAACTGGAAAGTTATGATAAAAACAAAATGACAGTTAGCCATACATCATACATGTAACAATAAGTGCGGCAGTCTGCAAAAATCAGAAATTCGTCTCCACTGGACCAGTCAGTGGTGTGTGTAAGTTTTTACACAAGCAGGAAGAAAGACACATACAGCACCAATGAAAAGGACAGGAAAAAAATGATTTATCTTGGTATGTACTTTGTTGGGATTCTAAAAGTAATATAGAGAAAAGACTCCACAGACAATGGCTACCAATGGCATGCTACAGCGAACTTACAGTAATTTTTGCGACACACACAGGTCAGAAATATTAGTATTGGTTTAAAATTCAAATAAAACAACGTCTAGAATTATGCCCTAAAATTTTTGGAGAATCCCCCGAGATCTCAAAATCAACCCAGATTGACCATACCGCCTATTTTTGTCTATATCTCTCTACAACACGTTTTGCGACAAGTTCCTGATTTCTCCAGACCAGCTCACATAAATTGTAAATAAAGAAAATGGAACAACTCACGATATCCGCTCTGGAATATCAGCCACTGCAGGATAAGTCTTGGTCCATACCAGAATTTTTTGTTCAAATGGCGATGGCTTATAAGTACCTTCACCACCTGAGGTAAAAAAGGAAACAAAAGCATTTTGAATTAAAAAAAGACACGAATAAAGACTTTACCACTTATTGATAGAAATATAACTGTACAGCAGCAGTCTACCCCTTTAATGAATATCGGCCTTCTAAGTGGGATAGCACTAAACAGAGTAAGGTGGTAACCCACATTTTCAGTTTCCACTTACTACATATTATTAAATATTATGTTTGGTCAAGAAGTTTAACTAGTTCAAGTCCTTATCTCCTACAAGACACTCCAAGCAGCTTGCCGTCCGAATAGTTGTGCAGCTGAGCTGCTGGCACCTCAGGCCGATTCCTTTATGACAACTTTGATATCATATTGGTTTTTGGCAAAAACTAAACAGGTCCCTTTTAATAATAAAAATAAATAATAAACAGCATTTGTATAGCGCACATCCTTGTTCTGCAGCAAGCTCTATGCGCTTTACACTATATTATTACCCCAGCAGACCTTAGAACACCCAGAAACATTTTCATTTTCCCAGAAAGCATACAGTGCAAGCAGCTAATTAAGCGCTCAAACACAAACTTGACAAGATCTTTCACTGTCTATATAGTTGGGTACCCATTCCCACCTCGGAGAAGTGAGGAAAATTCGAGTAAAGTGCCTTTCACAAGGACACAAGCTCAGGCCCCTGACGGGATTCGAACCCACAACCTTACGTTTGCCAGTCTGAAAGCATAACCACTAGGCTACCGAGCCACAAGTTACAGAGTAACCTGAATTTCTTTCATTAGACGATGAACAATAAAAACTTCTTTTATTTTGACTTCATGACTTTAAGATTTTGTACTAAAAGAGGGCTCGAGAGATAAAAATCAATTAGTAGTAAAAACTAACTACTCAAGTTTGTAAATGGTCAACAGAGGCGTAAGGCCACTGTAAAACTCAATGGCATTCTCCGGTTTTGGCCCGAAGGCCAAGAGTACTGAATGTCGATACTGACTTAAATATTCAGTATCAATGTTTGATCCGAAAGAGAGCAAGAGATGCGCTGCTATTTTTTAGTACAAAATGAGAAGTAATATTTCACTTATCTTTAACAAGGGGGGTTTCAGGGGGGCTTGCCCTCCCGACCAAATAAAATGGAGGGTTTCAGGGGTGCATGCCCCCCCCCCCCCCCCCCCCCGGATTTAACCACAATTTGATGTTTTGCAATTAGGTTTGATTAATGTTATCTCTTGCCCACCGCATATGAAACATCATATCGGCACGTGTGTCGAAAAGTAATCGTTTAGAACCTGAAGTACCTAATCGTCTGTGGAGCCAAAACCCACACTCCATAGTCATCGTTGGGGCCAAAACTGGATTATCTTCCCAACTCAATAGTACAAGGGTACTGAAACTGATAATGTAAGAAAGTACACATTTTATTAATTTATGATAATTTATCATTTTCGTTTTTACAACAATGAATGCAATGACAATAAGGCTATAGTTATTGGTCTAATGCTTGCTTTTCTGCATCAAAGGGTGTGACATAGTACAAAACAAGGTTAACAAGCAAAAGATTCAAGATTTTAGCCATATATTATAATCTCGAGCCATCAAAAATAAAGGATTTATTCAGCATTTTTAAAACAAATATCTTATATATGTCAAACATTAACACTTTTGGCATGGTGATTACTGTTGGTAGGTAGAATGACCTTACAGAGCCAAATTTTAATTCTCTGTACTAACTTGTGAGCGTTACAGTCCTTCTTATGCACTACATTCAGGTCTCCAATATTTTAAGATTTTGTAAAATAAAAAAGGCCTAAAACTCCAACTGTGTACCATACACAGCAAAAATGCCTCTGTAAGGTCATGCCACCTGTACAAACGGCCACTTTCCATTTCCCCCCTTGCGTTTTTTCTATTTAATTTAACTGTGTAAAATGGCAACTGTCCAATGCGGCCATGGCCACCATATTTTAACACACAACCCCTATTAGACTAAGCAGTAACACCTGTCTTAGGCGGTCACCTCAGGGACTCCAATACATTTTGTCATAAATTGTGCATTGGCCCCTGGCGTTGTGGGCGAGCCGTCATAATCTAATCACCTGTCGTTGTTCTTAGGTAGTCCCTCCAACCGATCATGTTGCGTAGGCCCCTCCCACTGTTGACCAATAGGTACCAATTTTCAGCTGCTGGTGAGGTAAGCGTGTGATCCCTCATAACCCATAAGCCCCGCCCAGAACTCACGACACAAATCGTAAGTGAGATGAGTGGTCACTGTTTACCCAGTCTGTAACAAAGTAACAATGGACGTCAACATGAACTTGAGATATAAAAGCGTCGCTTGTTCTCCAAGTGGTGGCGACCCATGTGTTTGTTTTAACATGGCACTCAGTCCTCCTCGTCTGATACATTTCGTTTTATTGTCACCCTTGCGCAAAATCAGCAACAAAATACAAAAACAAAATACAAACCAACAACAACAACAATGCGACTTCTTTCGATTGGGACCTCAGATGGGAATGGTTTGTTTTCTTCATCTTGATCAGTCCTGCCTAAGATGGCCACCTGTCTTATACGGCCACTTTTCTCCTCGACAATGGGTGGCCATCTCACACAGGTTTGACTGTATGTGTATAAAAGACTGTGTGCAAATTTGAATAAATTCTGACAGTTACTTTCTGAAACGTACTCAAAATAGTGTTGCAACCTGGTCAGATAAACAATTCTGAGAAAACTGCAAAGAGAGGTAATTTTTTGTGAAGATTTTCCTATCGTACATGCTACTTCTCTCAAAATGCATTTTCCAGCTACAATCAAACCTGTGTAAAACAGCCACCCATTGTCATTGAGAAAAATGGCCGTCTAACACAGGTGGCCATCTTAGGCAGGACTGATCAAATTGAAGAAAGCAAATCATTTCCTTCCGAGGTCCAAACTGGGGCAGATCTCAGGATTAGGACTGCCGTAAGGCTAATTCAAAAGGGGTTTTGTTTTCTTTTTAAAAAGGGTGGTGGGTGGTGTAAGAAGGGTTTTTTGTTGTTTTGTTTTTTGGTAAGCTTTCCTTAAGTTGCTGATTTTGTGCAAGGGTGAAATAAACTAAATATATGTAAGTAAGACGATGAAAACCGAGTGCCATGGTAAAACAAACTACAAACACATGGTTTGCTACCACTCGGAGAACGAGCAACACAATTTATGCACGAGTTGTGGGCGGGGCTTATATTATGACGGATCACGCTTCCCTCACCAGCAGTTGAAAATTTATTGTTAGGCCTAGATCTTCCAATTGGTCAATTTGGGTAAAACATTCATTGGATGGACTAACAATAACGACAGGTGACTGAATTATGACGGCCCATCCACAGCATGAGGGGCCAATTCAAAATTTATGGCAAAGTCACAAAGCGTCGGGCAATGAGTGACCACTCCTGGCCGCCTGAGGCAGGTAAATTTGACAGTGGGTTGATAATTTAAAATAAAGTGGCTGCGGCCACGTTGGACAGGTGACCGTTTTACACAGTTAAATTATAAGAAAAAACACAAGGGGGGGAATGGAAAGTGGCCGTTTGTACAGGTGGCTGTCATGGCAGGTTCGACTGTATTTATTAGTTTGATAAAGAAATTAGGCTTCTAAAGATGGATTCTTGATATAGAGTAAGAAAATCCAAAATCCGAAAAATGATATTTTTTTCAATATATGTTTTACTGATTTAACTCATTCGCTACGCCGAGCCGTGGGGGGGGGGGGGGGGGGGTGGCGGCGCGGCTAAAGTGCCGTCAGTACGCTTAGCCGCCCCCGGCGGCTCCAGAACCAATCTTCAATTTTAGCTTAGATTCTATTCCAATCCACATATCCATGTTAAAATAAAGGTCATAATATAATGTTGACTTCCGGGTCAAGCATTTCCACTGAAAATCGGGAGTTAAGATTCAGTTTTGAAACGCGATTTCGTAGTTTATTCGACTTTGTTTTATCGCGATGCCAAAATTATAGCCTGGGCACCAGTCTTAGTAATTTTACACAACAAAATCTATCATTATTTTGCCCACTAAAGAAATGTACGACTCTTTTTTATAATATTGATACGATTGGACTCATATATTGCCAATGCACTGTTATTGAGAAATCAATATTTTTGAGTGCTAGATCTAGATCTAGGTCTAGATCTAAATTGTCAAAAAAAAATTTCTCCCCAAAATCACTACTTTTGGATGAAATTACACAAAAGTGCCACTCAAGACATGTATAGGTTTATTCCAAATGCAATTCTGAATAATTCCATACAAGATACAAGTGGGTTTTTTTCTGGTTGTGATCGTTTTTCAAGATTATAAAAACATTTTTTTTTTTTTTCAATATCGGGGGGGCTCTCGTGGCCTTGAGGTTAAGGTGTTGGCCTCTCATTCAAAGGTCCCGGGATCGATTCCGGGTAGCGACCAAAATATTTTCTTCTCTAAAATTGTCTCCTTTCACATCCTTTCCTGATCTCTAACAATGTTCTGTTGTCTGCTTTCAATTCCACTTTCTCCCCCACCCCCTCACCTCCTTTGCCCCCTCCTCTGGGCTCCTGACTCTTTCTGCAGCCTTTCTACTGCTACTCCTTGGCTCCTCCTAACTGCTGTCTTTCTGCCACACCCCTGATCTTCTGGTAGGAAAGATCTACACCTAGCCTTCTCGGACAAGGGCGAAAAATCTCGGCCGTGTGCAAGTTGCGCACGTTAAAGATCCCTTGGTGGTCTAAAATCGATAAGAGTAGGCTTCGGCCGCCACCCGAGCAAAATTCAAAATTTCCTACCAACGAAAAAGTATTAGGTGTGTCCCGCGCGCTCATATGACCTTATGCAGTTGCGAGCGCCGTAAAACCCTATACTAAACAAACAAACAAACATTCAATATCAGATGTTTTGATCCAATTGTACAAATATTATGGAATGTATATAAATAACTGCAAACTTTTCAATATTTTCCAGTTCTATATTCATTTATGGTTATTTTGATGTATCGTTTTTGACTAGGTGCAAACATATTTTGTGAGTTTCACCAAAGATTATTAATTTTATATTTTCAAATTCTATCCGCATCCAATCAAAATTGTGTTGCATAATTGCCTCTTACAGGAACCAAAGTTGAAAAATACATAAATAAACATAACAGATGTATTCTAAAAACCATATTGAAAATATTGGTATATAATACATTGATATTTATTTGAATGGGAGTGTATACAGACCCGGTAACCAGGAACAAAGTCACAAAGTATACAGACCCGGTAGGGGAACTCTTTTGTGATTTCGGAAAGTTTCAGCGCCCTCTTGGCTCAGGGTAAAACTAGGTTCTTCTAGATCTATGGCCTAGGTCTAGATCTAGACCGACAGATATAAATCATTGATCTAATTTCGAGGCTAGCCTAGATCTAGATGTCTAGATCTAAAATCTAGAGATCTAGAATCTAGATCTCAATCTAAATGAAGATTGCAGATGTCTTTTCGATGAACGATCGTTTTTTCCCCCGTTTTGGAGTTGGAGGAATCACAATTTGAAGCAAAGAACAATGTCATAATTTAAATCGAGTAGTCACCCTCTCTCTCTCTCTCTCTCTCTCTCTCTCTCTTTCTCTCTCCTTCCTCTGTCTCTGTGTATCGCTCGCATTTTCTTTTTCTTTGTTTGTCTCTGTCTTTCTTTCTCCCCACCTATTTCCCACTCTATCTTTCTCTCGTTCCCTCCTGCCAACTGTGTCATACATTTTGCTAGCACTTCCCTCTGCTCTCTGCTCTCTCCTCTCTCTCTCTCTCTCTCACACACACACACATTACCGGGTCTGGGCGCTGAAACTTTCCAAAATCACAAAAGAGTTCCCCTACCGGGCCTGTATACTTCGTGACTTTGTTCCTGGTTACCGGGTCTGTATACACTTCATATTTGAATTTGTGGCCCCAAAGACCTTTTAACTGCTCACTAGTCATCATCTCATTCGCCCTCCCGAAAAAAATTCGTCCACAAGCCGAAAATAATACGTAGCGAATGAGTTTTAAACAGTGGATCCCCTTTGATCTAAATATAAAAAATTAAGGCTATTGTTAGGGGACCGTACGCCCCAATAGCGTTTGGCGCTAGGGGACCATACGCCCCCATAGTGTTTGGCGCTAGGGGACCGTACGTCCTTTGTGCTGAGGCTTGGTGTTACGGGACAGTGCGCAGATACGTGCATGCATCCAAAAATACTGGAGGAAAACGGCCAGTTTAACGAAGTTCCTGACGTAAGGAGTTATTACCAAGAGAATGATTAAAATATCTGAATATGATTGTGAGGTATCCTGTGCACCCACATTGTTGTTATGTGTCAATAAAAGAAATCAAAGC